AATCCGTATTTCCATCAGTGGATGAATGGATAATGAAGATAAGTTCAATATACATACTGGAATTTTATTGAGTTGAAAGAAAAAAAATGAAGATTTCAGAAAAATAGAACTGAAAAAAAAATCATACAGAGTGTGGTAACCAGGGTCAGATAGACAAATAGTTGAAAGAAAAAAAATGAAGATTTCAGAAAAATAGAACTGAAAAAAAATCATACAGAGTGTGGTAACCAGGGTCAGATAGACAAATTAAGTAAAATAAATCTAAAAATGTAGTAATTATCACTGAGAGGAACCAAGTCTTATAGACCAAAAAGTTTATCCAATGTGCTCTGTGTAACCATTAGGTTTCTTAGTCTACTGAAATGACATGATATCTATATTATTTAAGGACAGCTCTGGTTGTTGGATAGGGGATAATTTGCACTGAAATCAGAAGTTGAGACAGATAGGAATTCAAAACCCTTGGTAAGGCATAAAACTTGAATTTAAATTGGTTAACATCCATGCTTAACAGGCCAATGTCACCTGCTATGGCCACAAGGAATTAAACCAGGCTGGTTGGAGGGGCCCCAGCACAACTGAAGCTGTGACAATTTTACTGAGAGCCATCAGACTTTTTATACCTTTATCAGAAACAGAATAAAATGGATCAATACAATTGTAGTTGCCAGGCTACAGTGAAGTTTGCAAGTCATACAGAGTACACAAGATTAATGTCTAAGACCAATTGTGCTGTCAAGTTTCCATACTTCATTGACTACTAAAGGATTATACAGAGAAACACAAACAGCCTGAACTCTGCACTGCCTGAGGGGGTGCATCAGTCTCTCAGGAACTGGAAAACACAATGTGACCCAGGAGCCATGGACTCTAACCTGAAAAACCTGTAATGCATGCATTTCAAGGCAAGGCAGCTAGCCAGACCAACTCCATAGTTCTTTGCAATTGTAGGAATATGTTTTGGAGTTAAAGTTGATAATTTAGGAAGTAGTGATAAAGGAGGCATTGGTGGGTTAAAAAGGAAGTTGTTGTAGAATACTTCCCTTTATGGTTGGAGCGTAGTGGAGTATAAAATCTCTTATTGGCAGGAGGTAGTATAGGCCAATGTGCCTAGATAAGAGGGTGATGTTTATTATTGGGTAGTAATTCTGAAGGGTCTGTGATGTGGGAGGTCTTTCTGTATACTGCATATATGTGTTGCCTTCATTGGTTGATGAATGAAGTGGTTTCGGTCAATAGACAGAATTTAGCGAGGCAGGAAACCCGAACAAAGGGACAGAGAGAAGGAAAATAGAGTCAAGGAGATGGCATGTAGCCACTGAGGAGGACAGATGCCAGGGCATCACTGGTAAGCTACAGGCATGTAGTGATATACAGATTAGTAGAAATGGGTTAATTTATAAGAGAGAGAGAGAACACTAGCCAGTAATAAGCCTAAGCCTTTGGCAAAAAATTATAAATATATATTAAGACTCTGAGTGATTGTCTTATAAGCAGCTGTGGGGACCCAGTGGGTGGAGAGAAATTGGTCCAAGTGAGACTGGCGGGATAGAGAAAATTCTCCATCTGTAGACCTGTAAGACTAACAGCTGTCTGTACTAAGGTGACTCTGGTCTGGTCACATAGATTTAGAAGTCACCATTAACTAGGTGGGTTGTAAAGCCAATATACGGTTGGTCTATTAAGGAGGTACTCTTGCTATTAAGAGTACCAGAGATAATGTAATTTATAAAGTCCTGACATTTATTTTCTCACCAGAGTCTGGGACATCCAACATCAAAGTAGCTTCTAACGAGGGCCTTCCCTGGTGTATTTTCACATGGCAGGAGGTGGAAGTGGGCAAGTCATGGGCCTTAATCCCATTTGCTGGGGAGGAGACTTCATGACCCTTATATCATCACAAGACAATACTTGAATTTTAGAAAGGACATGTTTGAATACAAGGACAAATGACACCACCTAATAGAAGAGTGCCTATGGGGAGATGGGAACCTAGAAGTATGCTCTATAAAGGAGGAATTGAATGCCTGAGTATCTAAGTACAAAAACATGTTGTTGAGTGTGGAGGCAAAAAGCTGAAACAGCATGCTTCAAGAAGTGATCAGCTATTCCAGATAGGCTGAGAGGCCTAGTGAGGTGAGGGCCCCAAACTGACATGGAGTTTAGCAGCATGAAGGCCATGACTGACATCCTCCAAAGCGATTTTCAGGGCCATGTATGAGGAGATATACTGAAACACACATAGTAATGATTTATAGATGACTAGCTAAAACCGAAATTTTAAGATCTGCACGTTAATCTTCAGTAGAGAGAGCAGAGTATACTCAGCCTCCATGGCTACTCACAAGAGCCAGGCCTGTAAAGGTGGGTGTTAGTGGCTACCAAGTTTAGGGATTGCAGGCTGCCAATTCAATGGAACCTCTGCTTGGAAATTTCACTCTTGTATTCCAGGTTCCTTCTCAGTACAGATTTGGGTTGAAGTTCAAAGTGTGTGTGTGGGGGGAGTGAGTGTTTGGGAACAGGGATAATGGTGTTCTGTTTGAGGGGCATGCTTTGCTAGCTCAAGACTTTGCACTTTGCTTTGGAAACTGTTTTGTCTCTGTAAGTGGAGAGCTGTGAGGGTCCAGATTGCTTTGGAGCGTGGCTACACTTGCTTCTGAGTGTGGGTGTCTAAACACAGGAGGGACCTCTGTAGATGGCCCTGTATGGACAGTGTACCCAGAGACTCTCCCTTCTCAAGAAAACATGTTTCAAATGAACTGACAAATGTGTGTCATGGAGCCTACAGGGAGCAGCTTCTGGCCTATTCCTGAGATGCACTCAAGGCATTATTTCAGTTGTGTTCAGACAAAGTCAACAGCTTTCTGTTTCGTTTGTTTTAGTTATTTTGTTTTGATTTTTAGAAATGGGATCTCACTATGCAGTTCTGGCTGGCATAGAACTCACAGAGATCAGCAGGTCTCACTGCCTCTGGGTGCCTGCATTCAAGGTGTGCTCTACTACACCTGGGTACAACAGAGATCAGCAGGTCTCACTGCCTCTGGGTGCCTGCATTCAAGGTGTGTTCTACTACACCTGGGTACATAGTTTGTTTTTTTTTAATGATGCTCCTCTCTTTAGCAACCATACTCTGCTCACTCCTTTTGTGATAAGAGGGATTTTCCAAATCTTTCTGCTCTACTTTTTCTGCTCTACTTTTTTTTCACTCTTGACTCTCATGATAAATCTGACTTCAAATAGTATTCAAAAAAACATGCTATGGCACAAATGTATGGTGTCTTGGAGTTTTAGCCACCCAATTAATTAGCCCATTATTTTGGAGTTCAGTCTCATTTATGGCATGGATAAAGTAAGATAAATCCTTTTTCTAGAATGCATCAGGAATGTCTTCATTTCCAATTTCCAATTCTCACAAGAGCTTTTACTGACCACATTTCTATCAGTATTCAGGTCTTCTGAGTTCCCACCAGAACCACCCACTAGCTTTGTTTACAATACTCAAATCCTTCTCTAGCATATATTTCAAAACTCTTCTGTGTTCCCCCCACAAACTGATGCTAAGGGCCCAAGCACCCTGTATCAGGCTTTGCCACTGCAAGAGCCCCATTCTCTGGCATAGTCACTGTGACCAAAATTGCTTATATAAGAACCCTAAGGAGGAATTTGTTTCTTTGGCTTACTGTTCATTGTGATGGGAGGACATGCAAATCAAGTAGTTCACATCATGGCAGCCAAGAAGCAGATAAAACAGACACAAGAAAGAAGAGACTGGGAATAAAATAAAACTCAAGGTCCTGTCTTCAGTGACTTGATCTATCCACTAGATTCACCACTTGAATTTTCTAGAACCTCTCAAAATAGTCTCACAAGCTGAAGAACAGCCTTTAACCATATAAGCCTTTTGCAGGGGTACACTTCATATATGAGCAGTAATGTTTGGATTTCAGTTTGTCCGTGTGATATTGGTCCATGATATAAAATATTGTCCAAGGGCAAATTATTTCTTTGTAAGGGAGTGATTAGTTGGCCATAACCAAAATAAATACTTTGTCATAAAATAAGTATATTTTAAATGATAATTTTAATACAAAGTTTTAAAAAAGCCCCTGGCCTTCACATTGAATGCATGAGCTTGATTCTTCGTTTTCCTATTAAAATGATAATACTTCCTGGATCTTTAATAAAAATAAGTTATCTAGCAAGATAGCCTGCCTGCTTGATTGCATAATAGATTCACAGCTAAGGTTAAAACCCCCTCATTAATATGACAGCTAGAGGTGAAGAATATTAGCTGAGGGTAAAAGCAAGTGTGATGTGTTATCTGTACTGTCTTTAGGACCACTGTCTAATGGCTTGCCTTCAGACGTAAAGGAGACAATGTGCACTTTTGTTCCCCGATTTCCACGTCCTCAAAATGGAGAAACTTATTTTTCAAAGCTATATTATTACCCCATTTTTTTTAGAAGCATACAAGATTGGTAGCTTCATTATAACTTGTTGATCAAAATGTGATTAAGTAATGTTTGGGCTCTAAAGTGTAGAATAGATGATAAGAAACTTCTAAAACAAGACTAATGGGCCTCGCTTTGTAAAAGGGCTGTGTCTACAAGAGGTGAGGATGAATTATGAATATTTAGTTCCGCTAATTAAGAATACATGTTTTCTGTCTGACTTCTAAAAATGTTTTATTTGAGAAAGTAAATTTAATGTCTACATGGCTTCTTTAGGTTAGAAAGGAATTCAGTTTTCCAGTTAGAAGAAGGGAGGGTGATGTATGGTGGGTGACTTGTGTGATGCAGGGTGGCTCATGCTTAGCTCATGCCATTGGTGGTTTGATATTTAGGCATTTCTCTCTGGGGCTACAGATGATCAAGTCAACTGGGTATTCATTGCTCATGTTTTTAAAAGCAAAATGGATACTGCATACTACACTTTGAAGTAAGTCACCAGATAATGTTTGGTTTTAACCTCTGTGACTTCTCTGTTTGTTCTATCTATAGTTTGGAAGAACTGAAGTGATTGATAATACTTTGAATCCTGATTTTGTAAGAAAATTTATTCTGGACTATTTCTTTGAAGAAAGAGAGAATCTTCGTTTTGACTTGTAAGTTCTCCTAAAATATGACATTAGAAACACGATTTTTAGAGACTCCTTGAGTAGTATAGCCTGGATTGAGTAGATTGCCCTGAGAATCTGGCTGTTCCATTGGAAGGCAGCTTTATTCTGTTTGGCCAGAGGCTGAAGCACAGTACACAGTGTTTTTCTTTTTAATGCTGTTTTTAAATATGATTTGAATATGTGAGTGAACAGCTTAGTCCTGGGGAGTGCAGGTGGGCTTTTTCTCAAACTTACCTATACCACTGGGCTCCTTCAAGCTCAGAGTACTCCAAGGACATGTCCAGCTTAATGACTAATGGCAGATGGCTCACTTCTCCCAATAACATGCTAGCCTAGCACTGTTTGCATCTCTGTCTCATGATGGTATCCCTTGATGCTACATGTTCACACACACACACACACACACACACACACACACACACACCCTACCTCTTTTTTCTTTTAATTTATGTAAATTGCTGTTTTACCTGTATGAGGGTCCTGGGTACCCTGGAACTGGAGCCACAGACAGTTGTGAGCTGCCATTTGGATGCTGGGAATTGAACCTAGGTTCTTTGGAAGAACAGCCAGTGCTTACAACCACTGATCCATCTCTCAAGCCTGATTCTTCATGTTTTTAAGACCTAAGGTGGTAAAGCTACCTTTTTATTTTACATAATTTTAATATTTTGACACTGAGTCAACCATATTAAAGTATTATTGTCAAGTTCAACTCCCTGTCCACAGAAAACATGGAGCCAGTTTTTTTACTTAGGTGTTGTCAGTTATAAATGAGCCATCGTTCCACAAAGATGAGCTTTAGGAACTCAGGGTATCTGGACACAGGTTAAAAAAAAAAAAAAACCAACCCAGGGGCAGAAAAAAATGTGTACTAATATTTCAGAGGCTCTGTGTAATGTAATATATCATTTGCCTTGTATATCAAAATAATGGATATCAAAATATGGATAACAAAAGTATTTTAGAAGGTTAATGCTTTGTTTAAATTATTGAAAAAAATCATACCAGCCTATCAGAACATATGAATACTTTTTAATAACAAAAGATGATATCTTATTTGGAAGAGTCCTAATTTCCCTCCTAATATAAAATAAGTTCTTTACTGTTAGTAACTGTATTTTATTTTACTATGAGATGTTTGTAATCAAAGAATCTGTAATTCTTTCTTTAAAGGGTGCCAGATAATCATTAGATTAAGCAAGCAAAATTTATGATGTTCACATTAGGTGCTTATTTCCACAAAGTTTCTTTCCAGATAATCAAATGAGGGTACTCAGAGATAAAAGGAAAGCGTAACAATGGCTTTTGCCCACCCTTGACCATGGAGGCTGCCCTGTTGTTACTTAACAGCTAGGGAAGACCATGTGAACGTAGCCCACTGCCCCACTTGCTCAGAGTTTACAGCAACTGCTTTTGAAATGCTTCTTCCCTCACAGCAGCATGGTTGCCCCCTTAACTTTTCCACTTTGATTTTATCCTATAACCATTCACCATTTCATGGTTCCTTGTTCTGTTTCCCTTTTCTTTCTCCCTTTCACATCTATCTACATAATTTTCTTCCACTTGAAAGCAAAAAGTATTTATTATAAATGTAAAGTGATATAACTTATAAAATAAGAATTCTATTATTCCAATTTAAAAAATCTTGTAAGTGGTTCACTGTGTCAACCATTGGAGCTTCTTTAAACATTGATATGCTTTTGGGAATTGAAGCAAAAGTATTTTCCTGTATCTTTAAGTTTTCACATGTTTTTTTTTCTGTGCCACAGAATAGCTGTATACTTCATTTTTTAGGGATACTTGATATTTTTATTGCAAGAACATAATATATTTTATCATTTATTGATGCTTATTTCCACTGACTATTCTTCTGTTTTAAGTAACCTGGGGCATTATGCCTGTTTTCAATGTAGTGGGATTTATTATTACTCTGATTTAAGTGTAAAAAGGAAGCACAAAAGACCGCCCACTATGTGTCCTGATTGGTTGAAACTACCCTAGAAATGTACAGTCTTTGTTATTTCTCTAAACTCTCATTTTATCTATTTTCATTTTGTTTTGTTTTGGTTTTGGTTTTTTTCTCTGACTGTTTGAATCATTTCCCTGGGGTTTTAATTGCAGCCTGCTAGTCTGCTGATAGGCACCTATCACCTTTGCAGGTGACAGCTTATACATTTTATTCTCTATTGTCACCTTTTGTACCCTTTACTGGCATTCTGGGTTCATGTCTTGTTCATAGTTCCTTACCTGGTACCCATTGCTGTGGCAGTTTCAGGAAATAGGAAGTAACTTAGGCAGACTGACTGCCACACTGTCCTGTCACTTCAACTTCCTAGAACTTAAAGGTCTTAAAGAAATCAAATAATTCTGGAACCATGAAGGTGTTCTGCAAGATTGAATTGATAGAGCTTCCTTAAAATTTCAGAATTTTAATTCAAATAACATCTCAATTTTATGTTTTTGAATAACTAAAACAAGGAGGGCTAGAAAGGGTTAACTTCAGATCTCAAGGAAAGCAACATACATTCTCTCAGCCCATGGGGCATTCCAATGGCATTTAGTTCTGTTTACTCATTTTATTGAAATGTCTCATATAATATTTTCAATTTGGTAGTGGGCTGTTTTTTATGCTGTGACCTTTTTCAAGTAAAATGAATAAGGGAAAACTTCATTACTTCATTAGCTGCATACATATGTATATAATACACGTGGTCATCTTAAAATTTCTCACATAAGTGTATCAGCTGTAAAAATGTATGCTAATCTTAGACAATGTAGAAAATAATGAATGAACTAAAGTAGCCTATGAAAAATCAAGTGTGACTTCTAACTCCCATCACCCAGAGAGCAGAGAGTATGTTGTCCAATGCCCTAACACTGGCAGATGTTTGAAGGATGCCCATTCCTAGCACACTAGTGTGTGGTGGCTGGCAAACAGTTGCAAGGATCCTCCCTCCACTGCACACCAGTGTGAAGAGGCCAGCCATCACCCATCCATAGCACACCAGTGTGAAGTGTCCAGCCATCACCCATCCATAGCACAAGAGTGTGGAGTAACCATCTAATAGCTGCAAATGATATATTCTTGTTGCTGTGACAAAATATCTTACAAAGCAAACTAAGTCAGGGAATGGTTTCTTTTGGCTCACAGTTCAGAGGAATGCTATCTGTCTTGGTATGGAAGGCATGTTGTCACAAACAGCTTGGTCTGTGACACTGACCAGGAAGCAGAGACAGGAGTCTGTTGCTTCTCTTTTACTCTTGCATTTAGTTCATGGTCCCACCCCATGGAAATCAGACAACACACATTACAGAAGGGTGTTCTTCCTTCCTCAGTTAAACTTGATTAGACACTCTCAGAAGTGCATGAGGTGTGTCTCCTAGGTGACTGCAAGTTGAGAATGAAGATCAACCAATACAGCTGATTGTGCATAATCAGAGAAAGATAAGTAAAACAGCTCTGAGCATCTGTTCTTAATGGTTCCATGGCAGAACTCTTGCTTGTGTGATGGAGTTCCTGGGTTCAGTGCCACAAATGAAAGCATATCATCGTAACAAGTGCATGTTATAAAAGATAGTTCAATTTTTCAGTTCATGAGGAAAATTTAGGAAATAAGGGAAGGAGGGAAAGGTAAAGAGAGAGGTACATAGATGACAGGTATCTTGCTAGATAGATGATAGATAGATAGATAGATAGATAGATAGATAGATAGATGATGGATAGGTAATATGGATGATGGCTGGATGATAGATGATCAATAAGTAGCTAGACAGACAGACAGATAGATGGATAGATGATAGGTAGGTAAGGCAGAGAGAGCTTGCGTGTACTCGTGATACTACTGATATTGTTGCCATTCTGATTATGCCATGTACCTTTTGCTGTTCTGGTTCTGATTGACTTTTTATATGCACTTAGTGTTTATCAGTTTTGCATCATAGAATTGCCTTGTCTCATGGAGCTAATGTGTAAAGCTTTGATGTTTATTTTTATTATTCCCAGCACTCAAATAATACGGCTGTCTCATAAATACAATATTGGTGTGGTTGAAAATTTCATTATTGGTAGAAAAGGATACATGTATCACAGTGACTCTGAGCAAGGCATTCAAGTGCCCAGTCATTGTGTGAGATTTGCCAGGGCACAGGAGAGAGAAGATAGGATCTTTTACATCCATTCATTCCCATGGAGCCTGAACCCCCGCAAAGAGATTTATGAGTCTAGATTTGACTGGCCCAGTAAAATATGTCTTGATCAGTCAGATGGCAGTAATAATGAAATGTATAACATCAATACACTCTTGCTTTGAAGGATTTCAATATGTTTTGTGGGTCAAATAAATTGTTTTATTTGTCCCAATGCTTCCAATGGTCCCACTCTGTCTCACAGCCACTTCTAAATAATCACCCAGAGGCTTAATATTGATTACAAACTGCTTGGCCTATAGCTCAGGTTTATTAATAACTAGATCTTACATCTAGATTAATTCATTTCTATTAATCTATGTATTGCCATGTAGCCATGGCTTTTACTGGTTTGCTGGCATGCTCTTTCTTGGGTGGCTGATCATGTCTCTCTCAACTCCGCCCTTCTCTCTTCCTGTATACAGTTTGGATTTCCCACCAAGCTATATTCTGCCTTGCTATAGGCCAAAGCAGCTTTCATTATTAACCAATAAGAACAACTTATATTCACAGTATACAGAAGGGTTATCGCCTAGCATGTGCCATCTCAGGCTAGGCAAGATTTGTCTTCTACTGCTCACAGGCAGCCTAGATATTGAAGCCAGCTCCTCCTCATGATCTTGAAGAGTAGAAGGTGACTCCCATTTAACCCTGCACAGGAGGGAATGGCCTGTCCTTTAGGAATACTGGACTGGTCACTGAGTACTAGACTGGTCACTGGGTTATGTACTGGTTTGTCTCCATTGGTAACTCTTGAGATGTGCATCCTGGGATACTTAGAATAAGATTCCACTTTAGATGATATAGCTACAATTCTAAAATATAGAAATAACTGTAAACAACATCTGCTCCTCTTTGTTAGAAATGTAACTTTTAAGATTCATTCAAAGGGGAGACTATCAGTTAAAGATTCCTCTCTCACCTAAATACATAGTTTTCAGAGAAGCGGGCATCACAATTAATGATAAGAAAAAAAGAAAAAGGAAAGGGAAAGTTTGATTCATTGTATTATTGTGCCTTGTATGCCCAGTGTGCCCAGTATACCAAGAATTTCCAGTGTACCCAGTATCAATGTTACTCTGTATGCTCAGTGTACCTGGTGTGTCCAGTATACCCTGCATGTCTGGTGTACCCAGTGTGCCAGTATAACCTGGATGCTTGAAAGTCCATGACTCTAATGGGCATTCTGGTATTAGTAGGCAAAAGTGGCATGCTAGATACATGGGCATACTGGGTACACGGGGCATTCAGACTACACTGGGCACACTGGACTCACTAGAGATTGAAGGTATACTGACCACACTGGAAATACTGGGCACACTTGGTATGTTGGGCATATTGCCTATAATGGGTGCACTTGGCACATATGCACACTTGTATACTCAATGAACTTTGTTTTTCCTTTCTCTCTTTTTTTTCTATCATTAACTGAGATGTTTTGGGAAAAGATTCTATTAATATGAGAGAGAACACTTTAACATTAAAAGGTGGCCTTGATTTCTGTTAAGAAGTTATACATGAGTGTGAAAGAGTTTGGTTTAGAGAAAGACTAGTGTCAGGACAATATTATCTTATTAAAGAGCCTGGCACACTGAGGTTATTTGGGCCATGTCCATAAAATCCAGTCTATCAAGTAATCCTGAATTCTCTCTAGGAGATCATCTATGTCCAGTAGCAACTGGTTAAAACCAAAGCTTATCATACTCCCACATAAAGTACTGTTTACAAAATTCATTTCTGTTGACATAAAACACAGCTTCTCTAAGTCCTGTGATTGGGAAAAGGTAGTTTCTGTTACTCCAGTGAGTTTTCAACTTTTAACAGCTATCATTTAAGCTACTAGACAAGAATTGCAATGTGTATAATGTGCATAGCCTCTTACCAAGACCTGCTTATTTTTTATATCCAGAGAAGAATTTTCCATTCTAAAGAGATTTTGTAGTCATTTGAGTGGCACTTAGATACCTCTGATTCAAAGAAAAGATAAATTTGCAACTTCTCAAACAACAGGATTCATACTTGGGTTGTGTAGCATTCAAGTGACCCAAAAGTGTCAATTCTATCATTGGATTATTTGGAAATTAAACATGTGTTATTTTTAATATCCCACTAGTTATTGTTCAAATTAATTATGTTTGTGTGTTCCAGTAATCTATTTTTAGCTGTGTTTTATAGAAATAATTTGAATTTTACTCTTAATATTTTAGATATGATGTTGATTCAAAAGAAATAATTTGAATTTTACTCTTAATATTTCAGATATGATGTTGATTCAAAGAGTCCTAACTTATCCAAACATGTAAGTTCATATTTTTGTTATTATATATGTTTTATGATTATTTGTTACTATATTCATGCTCATTTGATAATTTAAAAATTGTATGTCAGTGACTTTTGATGTGATGTGATTTCCATGAAAAGCATCGTTTTTAAGGAAAGGTAGAGTGGGGTTTGGAAGAAAGTACCTTCAATAGATACAATGGATCAGTGTTTTCATTTTGTTTATTTAAGAAGCTGGTCTATTGTATATCATGTTGAGCAGACAGCCACAGTGTATCAGGTTGTCTTAGTTGGCTCCACTTGGGAGACATGGGAGGTGCATGGGTTCCAGGCAGAGCCATGCCCTGCTTCCCTGAAGTCCAGCTGTTCACCAGAATTTCCTCACATGATGGTTTCCTAACAGTGTAAGACATACTCATCCCTGGTCAAGCCATACCTGTTTCTCTAGTCTCCTTCCTCCAGACCATGACTGTTCCCTGCAATAGTGGCATGCAGTCTGAGACCAGTAGAGAGCCAGAGCTTGGCATGTCCAGCAGGATAAGCAGAGAAAATGAGAGTGAGGTACTCGGGGAAGATACCAATTTATCTGCTTGTTCCTGACATGGAAGACTGAAATGAGATCAAAGCAAGGAGCAGGGTCTATTGGCTGTGTTTCTGCTGCTGCGGTAGATAGAATGCCTTGACAAACAGCAACTTAGAGTAGAAAGGAGCTTGTTTTGATTTATAGTTCTATAGGGAATGGCAGTAAAGACATGGCAGCAGGATTCTGAAGCAGGTTGAGTGCCAAAATGCAGAGTAATTGATCACATCTCACCCATGCACAGGAGGCAGGGGCAGTAGGACCAAACTGTGAAACCCTAAAGGCTGTCCCAGTGAAGTACTCTTCAACAAGGCTCCACTTCCCTCAAGATTCCATCACCCTTCCCAAAGGAAGCCACCAACTGGGGACCAATTGTTTGAATACATGAGCATATGAGGGACATTTACATTCAAACCATAATCTGAGGGCTGTGTCAGAAAGGGGTACAGCAATGTTATGAAAAGGATTCAGCGGGTTCAAGGTGAAATCAGCGCCTACAACTGTAGGATTAGCAGTCAACACTGGGAAGGCAGCAAGCTGCCTGCATCCTTTGTTATATCCTGTAAATAAAGTAGTTGGGCATATAATATCCACTATAGCTTAGAGAGAGCAATACTGTGATTCAAAGGAGAGAGAGGAACCAAGGAACTAATCACAATCTAGGAGATGGATTTGGGTAATAAAAATCACTCTTTCACTTTAGTTCACTAAAGGAGGTATAATATTTAATTGTGTATAAAGAACCTAGTAAAGTCATGTGAAGAAATAAAAAAAAAATCTAAGTGGTGACTTTTCTATAAATTAAAAAAAATGCTATAATATGCTGTTTCCTTTCCATCAGTAGAGGTCAGTGTGGTGGCCATGCTATTGGCTATTTATGATGACTGCATAGTATTGTGACTGGGCATTGAGGATGTGTTGCTCTTTATAATGAATTTGTAGTGTTGTGCCTTTTTATTGAGAATGACTTGTTCTCTATTGTAAGTTTGTAGCATTGTGCCTAGGCATCGTGAATGCTTTCGCTCTGTGATAGGGTCACAGCATCATGACTGGACATTGTGAATATGTTGCACTCTATGATGGGTTCATAGCTTTGTGACTGGACATTGAGAATGTTTTCTCTCTATAATAGGCTCACAGCATTGTGACTGGGCATTGTGAATGTGTTTGCATAGCTTGGTATTAGAAATTTTCTAAATATTCTTGGAAGAAACAGAAAAGAGCCATAGCTTCTAGGTGTGATTGTTTTGTTGGAAAGAAAGAGTAGAAACACTCATTCACATGGATCAGGAGTATCTCAAGGATGTGAGGCAAGGCTTTGGATATTGGGTCAGAAAGTAGGAATGGATTGGAACAAGAGCCCATTTCTTCCCTGTCCTCCTGAGGACATGTGATTGTTCTCTTCAGTACCTTTTCTAAGCTCCTATTCTCCATAGGTCTGTGTTTACCCATTATCTTATACATGGGGAAGAGGCCTTCCTCCCTTTTATTGGGCATAGAATTGGTTACCATTTACCTGGGAAATAACTTCTGTATTTCTTGATTGTTTGTTTTAGTTCAAACTACTAAATACCTGAGCAGTTAGAGACATTTACATGAATGTTTGGAGCATGTTTATGAAGGTGCTAAAATTTAGTCTCCATCACCATAGTTGCCTTGCATTCAAAGAAGAAAGTATATGAGGTATATGTACCTCAGACATGACTGAATATATCTTCCTTCAGTAATCAGGGATTATTAGATATTATAATATAAAATATATGCCATATGGAATGTGTGATTGAACATTTGTTTCAAATGTTTCTTTTCTAGGAAAGTTTTCTTTTTCTCCTCACAAAATAGTTTCATGCTTCTCTCATCCTAAAATGCTTTGTGTGATTGAAAAGATGACTCGTAACTTAAGACTGTATACTGCTCTTGCAGAGGACCTCAATTCTGCTCCCAGCACCCACACTGGATGGCTCACAACCATTATAGCTCCAGCTCCTTGGGGATCAAGACCCTCTGTTCTCTGTGTCACCTGTACACACATACACCTTCCTCCACACAGATACATGCATGCATACATACATATGCATGTAATTATAAAAGTAATAAACCATAAAGTTCACATTTTCAATTCAGTACTTTTTTGCCCTCATAGTTCCTCTTCTACCCTCTGCTTCTCATCATTCATCTTTACTGGCCATTCTGGAATTCCATCCTGATTTCTTTCTTTACTTTGCTCTTTTCAACTAACTGGATCCTACTTTTATTTCTGAAACTACCTGATGTGATTAAGATAGTGACCACTTCCCTGTTATCATCATATGTATCCTTATCCAATTGGACAGAACTAACCCTTATCTACCAGGAAATACTTATTTCCCCTAAATTGCATGGAAACCTTCCCCTCTAGATTCATCATAACCTAAAGTTTCTCTTCTGCCCCCACCCAGGTCTTAATATTAATGTCTTTCATGTTTTCCTTTGTATTTTTTATTAATCTCAGCTCACTGTGTAAAAGTTTCTTCAGGATAGGTCTCACATTGCTATGTCTGGTGAGATTCTGGAGTATCTGATTTTGAATTCACAAACCAACTCAATTTTCAATTTCTTGTTAAATATTTTCCCGTAAATATTCTACTGAAATCTAAGATCAAAAGCCTATATAGTTCATTATATTTCTAGTGCTGTCTTTGTTCTGTGGGAACCTAATTCCTCCTTAATTTCCTCTTAAGACATTTAGTGCACTGTTAAACACTTCCCAACTCATGAATATTTGGCAAATGGTCAGTCGTTGTCATGGTAAAGGAAATCTTTTTGTCTTCTTGCTTTTCTTGCTGGTTCTTGTTACCATTCTCCTTAAATATTCCATTACCTCTTGTAGTCCTCACAGTTTATATTATCTGAATACTCTTCATTACTGTATAAGATATTTAAAATATATTCTGGAGCCAGCAGATGGCCCAGCAGGTAAAGGTGCTTGCTGTTGGCCTGATAACCCTGAGTTTGGGTTCTAGGACCCACATGGTGAAGGAAAAAACCAACTCCCGAAGATTGTCCTTGAACCTTCATCTATAACCTCCACACATACAAACACAAATATACACATGTGCACACATCAAATACACACACACACACACACACACACACACACACACACACACACACACACACACAACACACACACACACACAACACACACACACACAACACACA